CCACCAGGATCCACGCCTTGCATGTTCATAGGGCTCAGGATTTGCTGCGGGTACGCATGTGGTGGTACTGGGTCAACATTGTTCGGACCCAAACCAAACCCAACATTAACAGGAGCCATGTATGGCATGGCTTCTGGAATGTTTTGTCGAGCAACACCTTGCACAGGTGGTGGTTGCTCAACATGGATCTAAGATAAAGTGGCGTGACTCTTGCCAACATTCACGCTTTGAGGTGTTGGTACGATAGTTGCCACCGGTGGTGCAGGGTTCACCAGGTGTGGCTGCTCACCTCGACCAGACGGTAGGTTAACGTTTTCGCTTTCACAATTTGGAAAGTCTCGACCATCTGAAGACAAAACCCTAGTTCGTAAAACTAATTTGTCAATAATTATCTAAACTCACCCAAATCATTCATATTTTTGTTAACCAACTCAAATAATTGAGAAAATCGTCTATCTACGCGGGGATTGAGACAATCAACTTGAGAGTTTACCTAATGAGCCATAACTCTGGCTTCCTCTATCAACCGGCGACTCTCCGCCATCATTTGGCGGTTCTCCTCCATCATCTGATGAAGAGACACCACTGCCTCACCTAGATCTGCATTTGGTGCCATGTTTGGCGCCTCTGCTCCAGCATTGTTTCCTCCTGCTTGGTCAACTTCAACGTTAACCAACTGCCCCTCCTCCACAACACCTTGTGGAGGATCACCATCCTGAATACTTCGTCGCGGAGCCATATCAAACAAACGTTGTCCCACTAGGTGTGCCAATTTGTTTCAGGTGGAATTTCGTGTGATCAATGCACCCTGACTTCAAGAAAACAGAAAATGATGTTACTCGGTTCACACCTCTTGAAACACTGTTCGAACGAGTGTGTTCAATGCATACATCAAAGGATCTGGTCACTGTTACCTCTACTCCAATGGAGATTCCTTGAGAGCTCCGCAACTACTGACTACAACTAACAGAGAAGCCTCATTAGAGGGTCCCTGGTGCTACTGCTACGGTTAGTGTTCTAGAGAGAAAAGATAAATTTTGACGAGACTGTTTGTGATTTGATTTGTCTGTCCTTCCACCAGAGTCTTGCTGTGAGTTTTGTTGTGCCTCGTCCTCTAACCGCCTTCTCTCTCTCTTCCCAAAAATCAGCTCCACGTAGCATCCAGTAACTCCTCCGAGCTTCCTTTGCAAGTCAGGTGCTGCTTCCGGTAACCACCTCGACATGTCATCATGTCACTTGACCATTGGACGGTATCCATGTTGACTAAGACATCAATCCACGGATGATACGCATATTAAATGGTCACCATACCCTAGCATCATCCATTAGGGTTTGGATGGTATCCATTACGTTGGATACTACCATCCATTATGGATTTTGGATGGTATCCATGATATTGGACGCTGCCATCCATTATGGATTTTGGATGGTATCCATGTATTTGGACACTATCATCCATTATGGATTTTGGATGATATCCATGTATTTGGACACTACCATCCATTATGCATTTTGGATGGTATCCATGTATTTGGATACAACCATCCATTATTGAATTTGGATGGTATCCATTGTGTTGGACACTACCATCCATAAACCATATGGCCGGACTTGAATAAATTGGACCATCAATGTAAACGTGACCAGGTACTTAAATTGACCAAGTTGTACAAACATGTAATAATTAATGAAAAATTATTTTGGTGTAAACAACTACTAACACAAGAGCTGTTTTAAGTTAAATCTAAAATGTCATTTAGACGATAGCTTGAGCTAACCCCTTAGAGAATTAACATGCCATCTCATACTATTCCATCTCATTCTGTTGTTTTAATATGGTTCGTTTAGTACGTTTAAAGATACCAAGCAACGCAGACCATGCAGTCTTACAAGTTACAACACACGAAACCTTACTCTAACAAAAGACTAATGACTATGATTAAAGAACTAAAAGAACAATAATTAGAGAATTGATAATAATTATGTTGTCAAATCTCGTATCAATTTCGTCCAATGATGGCCAAGGTGAAGCATGCGCAGGCAGATGGAGAGCAATCATTCATCGGTTTCTCCAATTAATTACCCTTTCCAAAGTAAAAGTGATAAACATGCATCTGGTACATTAAAGCTAATTATGCACAGTAGTTTAATTGATTTCTTTATATAAAAAGTATAGAAGTGGAAATTTTTAAATTAGTTCATAGCTTTTTTACATTAAAGCTTACTATGTAAAGTAGCTTAATTGATTTTTATATATAAGAAAAGTATAGAAGTGGAATTTTTTAATTATTTCATAGCTTTATCTTGGGTCAAATCCAAGTAAAAGTTACTCGAGTCTAATTGGATGGAACGGATAGGGTAGGGATGGCAAAAATATCCGTAACCGTGGATATCCGCCCGAATCCGACCTAATTGGGTAGGGTAAAACCCGAACCCGAAGGATATTTAGTGGGTACGGGTAAAACCCGAACCCGAATATTGCGGGTAATGTGTGGGCATAGGTTTCTCACTATCCAACCCGAACCCGCCCCATTATACCCGAAATCCGAACGGGTATGGGCATGGTCTTGATTTTCTACCCGTTTCACATGTGGGTATGGGTATGGGTAAAACCCGAACTACTACAGGTAGGGTAACGGATATGCACTATCCGCGCCAGACTCGACCCATTGCCATCCCTAGGATAGGGTGCTAACACCTTTTAGTGTTAGCACCCTGTTGAATGTAGTGAATGAGTTTTGTCCGCGTAGTGGGCTTGTGTATGTATTAAGCAGCTCAAGATAGGGTGAGTAATCTTAGGGTGAGTAACAATGAGTAACCTAATCTGGACCCTTCTTTTAAGTGACTGCAGATCTAAGGGTGGAGAATTAAAAAAATTTATTTTCTCTAATTTTCTTAATTATATCATAGCTTCTTTATTCTAACTCGGATTTCAATTTTTTTTTGCACAGATGGAACGAGTTCGTTGTGCTCTACAAAATGATATCCATTTACAATATTTTTTGAGAAATTTTTTTTCATCCCTCTCGTTACCAACTCCATACCATATGGTATCTCCTTCGTTGTTTAGTCATTTTCGGAAATTTTTGCACAAAAGGAACGATTTAATCATGATCTATTGGATTTCAAAATTTTATGGGAGAAAAAATTTCAAAACTCTCGTTACCAACTCCATACCATACTATACCACCCTGGTATGAGGTGGTATTTTTCATACCATATGGTATGTTGTTATTTCATACCATATGGTATTGATTGGTATTAAATAACAGCATACCATGGTTAATTTGGTTTTTGTATTAGTTTGGACGGTTTGGTTATGATATTGTATTACATGGTTAATGAAATTTAGCCTTATTTGGTTTGGTAATAGCCATGGTAACCATTTGAACACCCCTAACTAAAACGCACAGCCTTGAGAAGAAGAAGCTAAACGTACTAGCAAGCCTAATCGTGAACATTTGCAGTACTGGGCTTTAGTTAACAAGCCCATTACCCATAAGCCCGCTCAATACTTCTTCTGTGTCAAGTTTTAGTTTCAGTATCATTTTCACCATTTCGATTTCAATCTTCACTATTCTTAGCAAAAGTCAGAGTTAGGGTTTGCAGGTGTAATCAAAAGAGGAAGAGGAGGAGCAGGCATCTCGCGCTCGACGCCAGCAACACGTGGTATCAGAGCACGGTCGCCGATCAAATAGGGTTTTGCAACCTTCGGCGAAATCCAGGATGGCGTCAGGTTCTTCATGTAATGCTCCGTTGTATCTCGCGGATAGATTTTCGCAAAATCGCCCACCACTATTCGAAGGAGTGAATTATGGCTACTGGAAGAATCGAATGGAGTTATTTGTTGGATCAATGGATCCAAAGCTGTGGGCAAGAGTAATGAAAGGGCCATACGAGCTTAAAGCAGATCAAGAGAAGGTGACCGATGAAGATTATGAAAAATTCCAGCAAAATTGTAAGGCTACCAATCTGATGTACTGTGCTTTGGGTCCAGAGGAGTACCATAAGGTAGCTGGGTGCAAGACGGCGAAGGAAATCTGGGATAAACTTCAGGTCACCTATGAAGGTACATCTCAAGTCAAAACTTCCAGAATAAATTCGCTTAAACATCAATTTAAGCTGTTCAAAATGGAGGAAGGGGAGACTATTCGACAGATGTATGAGAGATTTACTAATATAGTGAACAATTTGGAAAATCTTGGCAAGTCGTATGAGAGTGGAGATCTTGTAAGAAAGATACTTTGGAGTCTACCTGAAAAGTGGACTCCTAAGGTTATAGCAATTGAGGAAGCAAAGGACCTTGAGAAGCTTGCTATTGATGAACTAATCGGATCATTGACCACTCATGAGGATAAACTAATGAAAGGAGATCGGAGAAGGATAGCAGTGACAAAGGAAAAAGAGGAATTGCCTTCAAAGCAATCAGTATAGCAGATGAACCTGAAGAGTTGGATGATATGGAAGATGAGGAACTAGCTTTGTTAAGCAAGCAGATAAGTCAACTTCTCAGGATTCGAAAAGAGAAAAAGATGGGAGGACCTAAGGTTAAAGAAGGAGACAACTGTCAGGTTCTTTAGACCAGACAAATCCGGCAGTCTCTCCAGCGACGTGCATCCAGGAATGACTAGCTGCTCCAATGATTCCAAATCCTGAAGGCCCTGAATCTCACACAGTCGGTGCATATCTGCAGCTACCAACATCACTAATTTCCTCAGCTTGGACAGACAAGGTAATGTACCCACTGACGGCAAGTCAAAAAGCTCCAATACCCTTAAATCCTCCAGATATTCCAGACCCTCCAAGTTAGCTATACCCTTCATATCCCAAACGTTCAACTTCCTCAAATTTGGAAACTGTGACAGATTAGGCAGCCCTTGCAGCAATGTGCATGCACCAACATTAAGTTCTGTTAAAGAGTCGTGTCGTACTTGGCCTCCATCTTCCTCAGGACCTCGAATAATATCTCGGTGAGAAGAGGGCAATGCAGGATCTCAACCTTACTCAGCCTGTTCAGAGAAGCTAGATTGATGATGGGGTCTCTCCAATGCATACAGAGATTCAAAGTGCAAGTCGGTCAAAGAGACGAGGTCTTCGAGGCCGTTGATGTGAATCAAACTCTCACAATAATCTATCTTCAGACTTTGCAATGACTTCAGGGTTCCTCCGAGGCCTTCAATCTCCCGAAGCTTGGAACATCTGTAGAGGATGAGTTCAGCCAAATTTTCCAGATTGTCCAACTTTGGCAGCCTCTCTAGTTTGGGGCAAACGGAGATATGAAGCTCTGTTAGTGATGGGGGGAGCGAAAGAGGGCCAATGGTCGTAATGTTGGTTCCATACTTCACTACCAAAGACGTCAACTTTGACAGCTTCGACCACTCTTCTCCTGTGCCTGAGATTTCGAGCTTAGAATCTTCACAATACTCAAATGTAAATTGCTCTAAGTTTGTCAGTTCTGGAAGATTAGAGACCGAGACAGAGGTGCTTAGCTCCTTCAAACTTTTCGGAAGTTCCAATGCATTTTCTTCCTTCACTTTAATTGCTCTGAGGATCTTCAGAGATGGCAGGGTCACTATGTCGAAGAGAACTTGTCCCAAGTTCTCGCACTTGCACGAGCTGATATTTAGCTCCCGAAGCCCCTGAAGGATTCCAATACTACCCCCCACTATCTTCCTGATTCTGCAATTCTCAAGATTCAAACCTTTATGTTCCTCAAATTGCCAAGGTCCAGGTCTTGAGTGGACCCTCTCATGCATAAAAGTGTAAATGCTCGAGGCTCCCATATGTGGAAAGGTCAGGAAGTTTTGTTATGTAACGACAATATGCAAGGTCCAGACTTTTAGCTTTGCTGCCATCTGCATAGAAAGTGGCAAGTGATGTCATCAAACACAGCAAAAAAAAAAAAAAAAAGACCAATCAAATTCATGAGTCACCTAGCTAACCTTTATATGAGTCCACCCTCCCCAATCATCTGTGATATCGCTCCCACGGATCAAGAATGATCAATTTATTCAGGTGAAAATTGGTCAATTGGTCACCTGAATCTGCATGGTATTGCAACTGAAGCCATCTTAAATTATCAAAGATCACTGAGTCTCCAGTAAGCTCCGTAGAATTTCCATCGAAGTATCTCAAATTAGACAGTTCCTAAAATGCTCATTTGTTAGCTGACATGTCTCAGGAGAAGAATTTACTCGCAGAGCTTTAACTTTATCTGTTCCCTGTAAAAGCAGGCAAGGTTGAGTTGAATGCCAAAATTACAGTTAGAAGAAGTTCAAAACTGTAAGTTAGGTACCCAGCAACACTGCAAGACGGAGGGTAAGTAAATAGCAGGTCCCAGTACATAATTTAGGGAAGATGTTCTTACAGCAAATGGGTTCTCTATGAAAATTTCCATTAAGAAACCAACCATACACCTCATTTACGTACATTTATAGTGAACTGTACTGAAAGGTAATATATGAGGCATAACTATCTCAAAATGTTGCCAACTAAAGAACATTCATGGTAAGACTTCTGTGTGTTACAGAGAAAAATAGTTTATAAATGCAAATACTAGAATGTGAAGAGTACCTTTTTGCCAAGTAATAGCTCCAAAGCATCCTCATCGGACCATATTCTACTTCTCATCCATGGATGTTCCATATCTTCCTCCCTGATAATTGCTTTACCCAGGTCTCTAAGTTGATCATGCATGCTGAACTCATTATTATCTCTGATCTTGATTATGGATCTTTGGACAAGAACATTAATACTACTGATGGGATAAAACTTACAATCACTCCACATGTAAGAAGCTTTTCTTTATCAGTTCCAACATAGAAACAGGCAATGTCAAGAAATATCTGTTTTGCCTCATCGTCCAATGTATCATAACTTATCTTTAACCGGTCTAAGACCTCTGTCTCTGGTGTTTCTCTTAACCGCAGCAATGTTTCTTCCCAAACTGCTCTATCTTCTTTAAACAGAAGTGAGCCTACAACCTTAATAGTCAGTGGAAGTCCTCCTGTTGTTGATACAATGTCTCTAGACAAAGCTTGCATAATCATGTGGAGCAGAATCCTTTCTAAATGCATGTTTGCAGAAAAGTTCAAAGGAGTGTTCATAGCTCATTTCTCCGACTTCATATAGCCGACATCCTTCGAGTAAAGTCAGAACCTTAATATTTCTAGAAGTAACAATAAACCTACTGCCGGAAACGAAGTTTTCAGAATTTCCCAAGATGCCATCAAAATTTGAACTTGTCATCTACATCATCAAGAACAATAAGAACCTTGTAATGGCTAACTCTATCTCTTATCATCCGGATTCCTTCACTAACATTAGATACAGGAGTTGCCTTTTTCGCAATGCCGGAGATTATCTTATTTTGCAGAGCAACGATACCATCCCTCCGTTGCAATGTTTCTCTTACATCTTCCACAAGTAGTGACGATCAAAGTGAGCACCAAACTTTATTGTAGACAGCAGTTGCAACAGTGGTACTTGCCGATACCACCAAGGCCGTGAATGCCAACAGTTGCCACAGCTTTAGAGTTTAAATCTAGTCTTTCAAACTACTGCTTTCAAGTGCGCATCAATTCCAACCAATTCATCTGTCATTAATTCATAATTCTCACTTAGATTTGACCATATGTTGTCAAAAACTTCATCAGCTATAGCCCCTTGCCTGAAAAATATGAACTTGATGTAAATGCCATACGAGGGATGTACAAGGAAAAGTATAAGCTGTCAAATAAATTTCCAAACCCTAAAGCTATGGAATCAGAGAGCTCATAACCTTCGTGGAACATGATTACAAGGGGTAAGTGGCAGTCACCTTATAAAATGGTAACCAATACAGGATTGAAAACATATCAAAAGAGAAAACCTAGCTTCAAATCAAGTTTTAAGGTCAATATTGAAAATTCTAAGGTTTACCATTCACAATTAAGAAAAGAAGGCAAGTATTCAAGTAAGTACCCGTCTTTGTCTGTTACATGCCACCCTTTCAATTCTCCAACATCCTTGAGAGCATCTTTCCAAATTTGCAAGGTTTTGTCATCAAAATTCTTCATGTGTCGCTTAAATGCTTCTTCATAAGCCCCACTCTGTTTCCGCACGTCTCTAGGGTTTACCTTATAGAAAATGGGTAAAATGATGCGCCCCTTGTCTTGCTTGCGGTACTCAACCATTTCAGCAAGCTCTTTGAGGCACCACTTACTTTCAGCATAAGTTTCTGAAAGAATAGGAACATAAATCCTGGATTCCTTCATGGCCTCCACCAAACTAGGCCAGATTCCTTCGTCCACATGAAGATCCTCATCATGTTTAAATGTGCGAATTTTTGAGCGAATAAGAAAATGGTAGAGGACGTCAGTGATCTCATGGCGGGTGTCTGGACCCCTAAAACTTAAAAAGACCTCGTAGTCCCCAGTTGGAAGGGGCAAGGAAGCATCAGAACCAGTAGTTGAAGCAGAAGAATCAACAATGCATGTAGATTCTGATAGCTGGGGGTTATTGTTGGAGGACCTCCTCCTCCTCCGGAATAGCCACTTGCAGATGAGAATCAGTGCGGGAAGCAGCAAAGCCGCCACAGTCGTCAAAGCTTCTCGTAAGTTCATTTCTACAAAATGTGCATTGAAAAACACAAAGATGTCAAAATTTTCATCCGATTCTGCTAAATCAGTCCCATTTACAGATGGGATGCTAGCATAAGAGTTGAAAATGTAAAATAATTGCCCAATTTTAGTGACATTCAGTATGGATTATCCCACAAAGCTATGTACCTGAAGGAAACATTGAAGAATGCAATCACAATGCAAACAAGTAGTCTAATCTTACAGGAGAAATGCGTCTGCTGTTCTCTCGGGTATGATAAGAACAACAGTCTAACTAGAGGAATATATATCAGTCTAGTCTATTGCTTGGATTTCAAGAAATCATCGAATTCCTCCACACAGACACAGGACAAGGAAAAAGAAAGCATCTATCCTTTTTACAGAACACAAAGCAAACTAACAATACAAGGGATAAGTTTTCACACAGAAGAAAGAAATACGTAATACCATATGTGACTCTGAAGTTTCATACTATTACCATCCTCCGGTTAAATGTTCCATAATTCTTTCAGGGATGCTTCACACCACCAGAGGACTCAAAAATCATAAAGTTCGAAGACCAAAAATGGTAAAATGCAAAACACGAGGCAGAGGGGTTAATTGCAGAGCGAAGAAGTTGAGGAACCATAGTGAAGTCATCGGATTCTCAATCCAGACCACTGACCGTCTGAGCTTCAGTGAAGTCTAAGGTTTCAAGAAATTGTAAAATGCAAAACACGAGGCTAGCGGAAGAAAACGTACCACAATATCAAATGGGACAGAGAGAAACAGAGGTAAAATAAAGGCCGACGACTTGGAAGTACGGTTGTAGAGATCCAAATCGGCGGGTGAAAGCTGTACTAGTCGAAGTCTTTCGGGCCGATCACCGGCAATCATGCACCACGCAAATCAAGGGAGGGGAACTACTGCCATTGCATATCCGATTCCGATTCTTTCATTTTGTTTGCATGAGACCGAAGAAAGCCATGTTCTTTCACTTCCCCAGTTCACTGGCTCACTCGAGAAGAACATCAGTGGGACGGTGCTGGGCGCACCAGCATGGATTAGTGATGTGGTGCATTTTGCTGCCAAGAAACGTAATTGATGTTTCAGATGTGTTGCTTAATTGTCTTGAGAGATATGGTCGGCAGGTTGAAGCTGAGTCTTTAAGTCGATTGAATGAGCTTGAAGAGATACGAGAGAGGATTGTTGCTAGGAAAAAAGATGATGGTAAGTTTGTCAGATCGCTAGCAGGGAGCGGAAGAGAAAGCTAACGAGGGAGAATTAGGGCTTGGGCTGTGAACTGAAATTGTGAAATGGGAGAGGAAGAGGATGAGCGAGATTGATTTAACCAATCAGAAATTCAGAACATTACTTGATCCTGGGAACTGAATAGAGGTCTTCTGCCGACTGCCCAAACTCTGCTTCCTTGTCGCCCCCTGTCGTCCTACTCATCGCCGGCTGTCCGTGTCTCGGCCTGTCGTCCTCGTCACCGTCGGTCGTCCTTGTCGCCGGTTGGCCTTCCCTTCGCTGTGGCTCTTCCAACCTCTTCTTCCATCTGCCTAAGCCGCCGTCCTCGTCGCCGAGGCTTCCTTCTCTTGGTGTCAAACCAAACCGACGGTGGTTGTTCTTCCCTCCGTTTTGCTGAAAGTATCGATCAATTATGTTGTTCCAGGCTCGCGGTGCTTGCTTCAGGCCGTATAAAGCCTTCGTAGACGATAGACTTTGTCTTCTTCTCCTTCTTTCTCATAGCCTCGTGGTTGTTCCACATAGACTTCTTCTTCCAGTTCTCCATTCAGAAATGCTGATTTGACATCCAACTAGTATACTTGTAACTCCAGTTGAGTAGCTAGAGCGAGAACTGTTCTGATGGTATCCATCCTCGCTACTAGTGTATATGTCTCGTGAAAATCAATACCAGGCTGTTGTGAATAGTCTTTTGTCACCAGTCGAGCTTTGTACTTGTGGATAGAACCATCTTCATTGAATTTGACCTTATAGATCCATTTGAGACCTATAACCGGCTTGTCTTGCGGTTGATCAACAAGCTCCCATGTCTTGTTTTTCTCGATCATTGAAATTTCTGCATCCATTGCCTCAGTCCAGACTTCTTCTTTGGCTGCTTCTTCAAAGACTTGAGGTTCACAAGAAAAATATGCAACATGACTTGTTTCATAAATTTCTTGTAAAGACCTTGTTTTTAACAGAGGTGAATCCGAGTCTGTTATGATGTCTCTGAAAGAATTTCTTTCTAGACTTGCAACTGGATCTGGGTCGTTGCTGGGGTCTTCTAGAGCTGTTGAGTCCTCCAGAATTTCATAACTTGGTGGAGATTGAGAAATTGGATTTTCCCAATTCCACTCCGCCATCTCATCAATGATCACATCTTGGGAAACCACCACCTCGTGCTTTACTGGGTTGTAAAGACGATAGCCTTTGGATTCATCATTGTAGCTGGTGAAGATCAGCTTCTCTTCCTTCTGGTCAAACTTGTCTTGGTTTGGGATAGAGATATGTGCATAAGCTATGCACCCAAAGACTTTGAGGTGATCCACCTGTGGCCTTCTATGGTGCCACGCATGTATCGGTGTCTTGTTCCGTACTGCTTTTGTTGGTGATCTGTTGAGTATGTAAATTATCGTATTGACTACTTCTGCCCACAAGTTGTTGGGAAGCTTTTTTGCTTTGAGCATGCTTCTCGCCATCTCCACAATCGTGCGGTTTTTCCGTTCTGCCACGCCATTTTGTTGTGGTGTGTGACGGACCGTCAGTTGCCTTTTGATTCCGTTGTTGCGGCAATATTCCATGAACGGAGTATAAATAAATTCTCCTCCACGGTATGTACGGAGAGTTTTGATTTGATGGCCGCTTTCCTTCTCAGCTACTGCTTGGAATTGAAGGAACTTGGGAAAACCTTCTGACTTTTGCTCCTAGAAAAAAAACCCACATCATTCTGGTGAAGTCATCTACAAATAGTAGAAAGTATCTTTTGTCGCTGAGTGATTGTGTTCGGGTTGGACGGCATATGTTTGCATGTACCAACTCCAGTAGCGCTTTTACTCTCCAAGATGTCTTTGGAAATGGTAAACGATGCATTTTGCCATAAATGCATCCTTCACAGATCTTGTCTTCTTTGTTGATCTGGGGAAGTCTCACCACCATATTTTTATGCCTCAGCAATTTAAGGCCCTTGAAGTTGAGATGACCGTATCTGAGATGCCATAGGAAGGATTGATCCAGATTTTCACTCTTGAATGCTACTTCACCATTTTGTGACATAGCAAAAGAGAAAATTATGTTGGAAGGCATCGGGACTTTGGCCACCATGAAATTGTCTGCTTTGTTGATAATCTCGCACACGCCATTATCAAACAATAGCTTGTAATTTTTCAGCATCAATTGTCCCACGCTAAGTAGATTGAGAGTTAGCTCCGGAACATACAAAACGTCTCGGATGAGAGTTTTGTTACCTTCTTCTGTACATACAACAACTGTGTCTTTTACTTCCACTTTTAGCTTCTTTCCGTCTTCCAATTTGACTTGAGAGCGGTATTGGTCATCGATGTCGGTGAAGGACTCCAGATCTCCAGTCATGTGGTTACTGCACCACTATCCACCATCTAGGGAAGCTGTGATTTTTGCTCATCATTCAAGCATGACAAGGACACCATATTGCTTTCTTCATTTTTGGTGACGCTTGACTCACCTTCTTCTTGCTTGTTCTGGAACCAGCAATCTCTCTGGGAGTGGTTTTGAATTCTGCACTTGGTGCATTTGAATCTGTAGTCTTTTGTTGCATGGCCCACCTTTTTGCAAATTATGCAACTCGAGCCTGTGTAGCCCGATTTTTGTTGTTGATAATTTTGTTGATTGTTTCCTCTGTAATTGGATCTTCCTCTTTCTTGAGAGTTTCCCCCTCTATGGTCGTGCTCCGATTTGGCATATTTACTTTCCGCCATATTGATTTTTGACGAGAAAGCTTTCTCCAATGACGGTTTAGTGAAACAACTCATTCTTTGCTCGTGTTCTACAAGTGAGCCCATCAACTCGCTCATTGATAAATTTGCCAAATCTTTGGTTTTTTCAATGACAGCAACAATATGCTCGAACTTTGATGATAAGCTCCGGAGAATTCTCTCCACGACCTTCCTCTCTTCCATGACATCACCAGTAGCTTTGATCTGGTTGATTGTCTCCGCAACACGCGAATGGAAGTCTTTGATGGTGTCGGTTTCCTTCATCATCAAGATGTCGAACTGGCGCCATAAACTTTGTCGCCTGATGGAGATCGCCTTTTCAGAACCTTGAAATTGTTCACGCAAGACATCCCAAGCTTCTTTGGCCTTTTTGATGCCATAGATTCTGGGGTAAATTGATTTGCTCACTGCTCGCTGAATGATTCTCAAGGCGCTGGCATTTTGCTTGGCATTCTCCTTGTACTCCTTTGTCTGTTTGCATGCTCTTCTTTTCTGAGTCTTCATCCTTGTCTTTTGGATCTTCATATCCTTCTTGGACGATATCCCTCAGTTCTTGAGAGATTAAAATTGGCTCCATTTGGGCACTCCAGTACTCGTACAACTCTCCATCGAAAATGGGAATTTGATTAGAGGAGGTAGCAAACATGGTGTTTGATGAAGTTGTTGTCATGGCTTTTTGAGAAAGTTTGTGTAGGCTAGAAAATGGGGGATTTTATAGAGGATAAAGGGGTATTAGCTATGCTACCAAATTTGTTGGGTATTAACGGAAGTAGTGATGATTTTGGATCAAAACAAAGGAAACAATTGGTGTGTAATCACTCTTTTTACAATTCACTCAAAACAAACAAGGCCTTATTCATTTGGATATTGCCTTACACGTACATAAGCTTAGCTTCTTTCTTTCTTTCTTTTTGTTTTCTATTCTTTTCTCATACTTCTCTGACAACTTTCCCAATTTCATACTTACAGATATATATAATTGGAATTGAGACAAACTAATAATACATCACATGCATACTTGGCCCTCTACTTCATTCACCCACGTTGCTTCTTTGTGGAAAATGGAAACACCAATTTAATTACATTGGTCCATGCATTCATCTGCATGTCTTCCTTTTCTTTACTGCAGCACCAAGTAGACTTGATATGATTGAGAACAAGATAAGCTCCTCAACCAACTATGCCCCATGTAGTAAAGGGCTTCTTTAATTCATCTCTATCATTCATCACTTATTGATTAATAATATCAAATGAAAATTACCATTCAACAGGTTTGGGGCGGAAAGGAAGGAGAAGGAGGAAGGGGTCAGATGGTTTGGGAAGAAAGGAGGGGTCCATTTATTGGATGTAAATGGGGTTGGGTCAAATATGAGTCAACAGTCTGCCGCTGATGTGGCGGTCCAAATTGGCATGGTTAGTTATATTTCGGCACCTACCGTTAGGCATGGCGACGGAAATGGTAACAATGCTACCGGAATTTGACATAAGTGGTTTAGTTGCAACAAAACGTAATTAGGTGGTCATCATGCAACAAATTGTGAACTTAAGTGGTAGCCTGTGCAATTAACCCCTTTGTTATGTGTTATGTAACCAAAACTATGAGAATTGGGGGAGTTATACCTTTAAGTAAGAATATGATATCACGTGCCACTGAAATCTATTATATGTGCACCCGGTATCACTTAAGTTAGTAAATACTCTGTTTAATACACGTATATGGACCCGTACGAGGTAAAATATCTCGGTTACCACTAAAATATGAGAATTGGGGGATCCATACCACTTAAATATGAATAGGGCGTCGGGTACCACTAATGTCACTGAATTATGCATCCGTCTCAAATTCCGTCCATCTTCCGTAAGAAAGAACAAAATATTATTTTTAGTCAAAATAATTAAAAATAATTTCAAAGATAAGGAAAAAATTATAAAAGTCTCCAAATTTCAATTAGAGGTTGCTCCCTGCCGCCGTCGTTTCATCCCGACGTCGTCTCTTCCTTCGCATCACTTTAATATCGAGCAAAAGCCTCCGCTAGTTCTACAACTGGATTGACGAGACTGAAAGTCTTGGCGCTTGAAATGTAGGGGGACAGGAATGGGATTAGGAAGGAGAAAGGGGAGAAAATGGAAGAGGATGATGATGGGAATGAGGGGGAAGAGGTCGATTTTGAGTCAACGTCGGATCAGGAACTCGACGACGGGTTCTGGGAAGAACTATTGAGCGAGAGCGCAGGCGAGGGCGGAGGGGAAGCATAGGAAACGACAAACCTTGGTCAAGCGGTTAGGCGTTTAGCAAATTATTAGGAATGAATTTTGTTTTTAATAGTTGTGAAATGAAGAGAAAATTGTTAAATATTAATTAATAATATTTTTAACTGTCATGTCATTTATTTAACAGTCAACTATGAGAGTTGACCACCACATCAGCAAAAGTTAACGGATACTAACGGCCAGTGACTACGGATGGAATAAATTAATTTTAGTGACAAATATGAATTTTTATAGTAATTCTAGTGACTAAACTTGCAATTTACCCCATTTTTTTGCTATAAAATTCCGTCCAATGTGGTATCAAGAACACCGATTCAACTTAGGTATCGTTTGCTTGTGGGATTTGGGTGATGGATTTGGCACCTAAATCCCAAGCATCATGGAATTGACTTAAGTTCATTGATTGTTGAGAGACACAAATCTGTGGGGCCCACGGATTTGAAACTTTTTTTAGATCCACATCCTTGGATCCCATGGATTTGCAAATCTCGCATTTCATTTGGGATTTGATAATAGAAGACAAAAATGTGAGACAAATC